TAGAGGGCTTCTAATGCATCTATTTAGTGAAACTTTTGTACGTGTGACACACGTGACATGTGACACATCATGAAACACGCTTCAAATCCTTTTTTGAAAGCAGATAAGGTATGAACTGTAAAATTAAATTATCACTGCCAACTTACACATCAGGACCATTTGCTGAATATAATACTTTGGTAGAGGTGATTCTTTTAGAAATTATATTCTAACATCAGAGGTTTGAAAAATAATTTTTATAAAAACACCAGCTCACGGGGCGCCTGGGTGGCTCAGTGGGTTAAAGCCTCTACCTTCGGCTCAGGTCATGATCCCAGGGTCCTGGGATCGAGCCCCACATCGGGCTCTCTGCTCTGGAGGGAGCCTGCTTCCTCCTCTCTCTCTCTGCCTGCCTTTCTGCCTACTTGTGATCTCTGTCTGTCAAATAAATAAAATCTTTAAAAAACAAACAAACAAAAAAAAAAAACCACCAGCTCACTACCCTGCACAATTGCTGGGAACACTTCTGTGTTATTGTATCACCCAGCCGTTCTGCCGTTCAGCAACTTCCCAAAGCCAAATTCAGGACTAAAACTTACCCTCAAGCACAGACAGGTGTTATGACCAGGCATGTATCCAGTAACTTGGAAATTCTCTTTATTAAACAATATTCAAAATAAAGTGGTGCAGGGGCGCCTGGCTCAGGTGGTTGAGCTTTACACTCTTTGTTTCAGCTCAAGTCATGATCTCATGGGTTGTGAGATGGAGCTCCATCAGGGCTCCACACTCTGCGGGGAATCTGCTCTAAGAATTCTCTCCCTCTCCCCACTCATGCACTCTTGTGAGCCCGCTCTCAAAGAAATAAATAAATCAAAATGAAGTGGTGCAAGTAAAGTAGGACATTGCCTTATTTTACTGTGCATAACTGATCTCGCGAATTAAGATCAATCCCTTCCTCCAGTAGTACTGTAGTGTACATTTTCATAAAGCCTAAAAAGCCTGCAACCGACACTCAGATTATACAGCTCGGTCAAGAAACAGTCCAAGGAATCCTCAAAAAAATCTTAGTATTTTTCTTATGGCTTCCTCTAAGTCAAAGAGATGATAAATTAGGCAGTGACTGATGATAGAACAGCTGTGCCTAAAACTGTTTGCTCTTAATATACTCTATCAGGTGGAAAAACCTGGTTTAGCAATTTAAAGGGTAACATCCCATGTTCTCTCCCTCTAGCTAATGGCGTGTTTTCCAAGTGGCTTTGGGCCAATCGTTCTCCCAATCTCCTAGTGAGGCCAGACTGGCTATGTCCATCCAATGAGAAAACTAGCTTCTAGCTTCTCCTTTACTTTTCCTTTAGCATCAGGCATAAGTGCATCCAACTAGCACGGAAGGCTACACAGAAGGAAAGCAACTGAAATCTAGAAAGCAACTAGTAGTCTTAAGAAAATCTCAAGAATTCAGACGGAGACACTGGCATGTGCAAAATGCAAGGGATTAACTAACCAGGGGATATGGTTCTTAGGAAAATCCTAGGCAACCGAAGTTAGTCTTCCCCCTCTCAGCCTATCCAGAGTAACGAAATAAACCAAAGGTCCTTATCACTATTGAAAAGAGTAAAAAAACAAACAAACAAACAAAAACTTTTGAATATACTAAAATTTTAAAAGCCAGATGAGATAATTGATCAGCAAAAATTTAAACAGTAATACCCAGAGTTGGGCAAATTAACCTCTGAATCTTAGTTCTTTCATCCATAAAATGGGGATAGTAACTTCTCAGCAGGGTTGAGGGGATTAAAATGGATAAAGCACAGGTGCCTGGGTGGCTCAGTGGGTTAAGCCTCTGCCTTCGGCTCAGGTCGTGGTCCAGGGGTTCTGGGATCGAGCCCCGCATCGGGCTCTTTGCTCCGCGGGGAGCCTGCTTCCTCCACCTCACTCTGCCTACTTGTGATCTCTCTCTCTCGGTCAAATAAATTAGTAAAATCTTAAAAAAAAAAAAGAAATGGACAAAGATTTATGTTCAAAGGTTTTCATATAAAAGCATTAATAAAAAATGGGAAATAACTACTAGCAGGGACTTGGTTATCTAAAATAATGGTAAAACCATAAGACAAGACTCTACAGCTATTTTAAACCATGTGGACTAAATATTAAGGGGAGAAATTATTCAAAAAATATTGCTACATGATGAAAGCTAGAACACCTCAATTTTTTTTAGAGATTTCTTTTATTTATTTGAGACAGAGAGAGAATGAGTGAGAGGGAAAGAAAATCTGAAGCAGACTCCACACTGACCACAGAGCCCAGTGCAGGGCTTGATCATGCAACCGTGAGACCATGACCTTAGCCGAAAAACCAAGAGTCAGACAGTTAACTGACTGAGCTACCCAGGTGCCCCAAACATCTTGCATTTTTGAAAAAGTACTTAAACACACAAACATCTGGAAGGTCATAGATGAAAATGTGAACAGGTGATCGTGGGTGCTAGGATTATTTGGGATGTCTTTTTCCCCTTTGTCCTCTTCTGTATTTTCCACATTTTCTGCATATAATCACTTCCACTTCTTATCAACATTCACTGTGCATTTATTGTGTGGGACAGTGTTTTCCTTTACTCCTATCTCATTTAATCTTCACAATAATTCCATGGGTAGATATTACTTTACAGATGACATTACTGGGGCAAAGAAAAGCAAAGATTTCAAATGCTGGTTCTCTGATTCCAGAGCATGAACTTCTAATCCGTCCTATCTACCTGTGTGTGTGTGAGACACCCACCTACTACATGTATGTATGTATGTATGTATGCATGTTTCCTTATAACTGGATAGCAATGGATGATCTTGACTCGAGAAAAGCCACTCTGCTCAAAAGAGCACCACCCCTGATATTCTATCAAATTGTACAGACAGTAAAACTGGCTCATTTGAGGCTGGGCTCTGCAGTTCCCCTCTCTGATGACCCAGAGTACCCACTGAGCTGCTCTGTCCATGTCCTTTAGAGCCCAGGAGTCCTGCAGAAGAGCCAAAGGTTGGAGGGGGGGATGGAGAGGGGGAAGCTCCATAGGTAACATAGTCCATTACGTTCAATGAAGATTTTAGACCATCTAAGGAACCAAAAAGCTAATGATTAAGCCTGAAACAGGGAAACCAAACCAGTCAGCAATTTTCCATGTTGGGCTTAATCTTAGCCAGGATTTTCAAGCATGCTATTGTTCAGCTGTTTAAAAATGAAACCAGCCTGATCTCCAAAGTAGATTGGGATTGCTGATGAATTCAGATGAGTCAGAACACTAAATTGTTCTCACCCTCCCTGTCTCCCAGTACAGCTTCAGGTTCTAGGATATTGCATTAGGCAGAGGGTGAAGGGTTAACACAAAGAAAAATAAAAGTCTTTGTATTTTTCCTAGAAGGGTAGGAAAAGAATTTAACAACCAGAGTTAAGGGGGCCAGAAAAACCCCTCTAAATGAAAATCATTCTTGGCCCCTACCTATACTGCCACTGGCAAAGTCTGATCCTGTAATGTCTTCTTATTATGGTGTCATAATGGCGTGGTCACAGCCAAAGACAGCAGCTTGGCCAGCCTCTTCTGACTAAGCTATTGCCTGGTTACAGACTGTGTCAGTGTTTGCACTATCATCTGCATCACAACCAGCGGCACAGTAAGTATCCAGAAGGAAGCTGTCCACTACACATGAATGCTTTTATCAGCAGGTCTAGGAAGGATAAGGGAGTTACACTAGGGTAGTAAGTTTAAAGAAAGGAAAAAGGAAAGGCATCTAGGAATAAATGTTACAAGCAACCTTAACTAATTTAACTTGATTCTTGGGTTTGGAGTAAACTTTCCCCTTAACAGATGACTGCGCCCATGAGATTGTGGGCACTGTCCTGATTTGATCAACAGGGCAAAGGAACACAAAGTATGAATATCAGAACCAGAAGATTCTACCTTCTGGTGGAAGGATCAGGTAATTAAGTTTATCTCTAAGATGGCCCTCAAGGTGCAGGAGGAAGTTGAAAGTGGGGGGAGGGAGCAAGTTTAATTAGCAAGGCAATGAAAAAAATTCAAGCTGCAATGCACTATGCAATTCCGGTCTTCCACTCCATTATCTTTCCTCCATTATCTTAACACTCAGGGATAATAAAACAGTTTCCGAAATTCTCTACGGGGGCCAAGGGAAGTGGACAAGTTCAGTCTGCTAACTGAAAAATAGGTTTCTGTATGTATCATCTGTACCAGTAGCTGCACTGGGGAAGGTCAAGGATTCCAGAACTAAGGTTCCCTACCTAACATTTTCTGGATGGCTTAAGCCGAGATGCTGGCAATCAGGATGCAGAGTTGATGCACCACTTTAACTGAGCAGCTAGATTTAACTTCAATAGAGCTCCGCTTCTCAAGATGTGATGCTAGAGATGTGAAAAGCTAACGCCTGCCAATCCAGCGGAAGTCCTTAGTAATAATTTTGGCGCCCTCGGTACCTAATGTCAATTTCCCTCACTACAAAACCCGACCTACACCATTTCGAATTGAAAAGCTGCTTCGTAGACTCTAAGAAAAACACCGGGAGGACTCAGTACGCAGTAAGGTTCTCCCAAGCAAGCTGGTCCAAGAGTTAAAGTGAACCCAGTCCTGTCTGGATGGCTCAACAGAGAAGCGACAAAGCCACGTGTCCCCTTGGCTGAGGCTAAGCGTCTTTCCCTTTCCGTCGCTCTAGGCAGCCGCTGTCCCCACCTTGGGTCCTCCAACCCTTGCCTTCAAACCCAGCAGCTTTGCCTCACGCTCCATCTTGACTCCACCCCACGGCACGGTGAGAATGAACGTGACCCTCCCGCGAGAGGTAACATAACGGAAACAACCCGCGGGGCACATTTGCCACGGAGCTGCCCCTTCCCGTACCCCAGCCCCCCACCCGGGTCGCACAGAACTCCCGCGGCGGCCCCATTCCCCCTACCCTCTGTCCCCCCGGCGTCAACCCCGCCGCCCCGGCAGGTGAGGCCGGTCGGGGTCCCAACTTCGCCCTTACCAGGTCTCTTGATTACTGAATTTCTTAGTCACCACCTTGCCTAGTTCCAGGCCCAGGCGGTCAGCAATTTTCTGGGATAAGTCCTGGTGGGAGCTGCCGCTGAAGATTTTAATATTCGGCATCTTGGCTCACTACCCTAGGCACTCTCCGCTCAGCGATCACTGCTGCTGCCGAGACGGGACCCGAAGTCGGCCAAGAGACCCAGTGCTAACCGCTTCGCGTTGCTACTCCGCCATCTTACATTCCCGCCCGGCGCGCGGCTCTAAATTGCCCAGCGCCGGAGAGGCGGGGTCAGCGGGGAGGTCCCCACCCCGCCGCCCCGATTAGCTGAGCGGGAGCGAGGGGCGGGTTTCTCGCGGCAGCTCTGCCTGCCTCCAGTTGGCTGGAGGCCATGAAAAGGGCGAGGCTAAGGCACGGCCCCGCCCCCTGCAGCTAGGCTGTCGGGGAGCGCTGGCTCCCGAGCGCCAAGTCGAACCACGCTTGATTGGGGGGTGGAGGGATGTTGGTGACGCGTCGTGCCAGCTCTTGCTCTCAAGCGGGAATTCAGGCACGCTTATTTATCCCCTTTGGCAGCAGGGAGTAAGTCTGGCTCTGGTTTGCAGTTCCGTTTAAGAAAATCTGTTGATCGGGATGGCAGCCAGTTTGTCAGAACGAAGGGGAGATTTCTGAGCAGAAGTTTGCCTGTTTCTGAACGTGATTTTTATCTCTTTATAAGGGCGGGGTGATATAAAACACGTCGACAGCACCGAGAGACACCCGTGGCACAGGTGCATCCAAAAGGCGTGTTTGCCCTTTGCAACTATGCTGTTTTGCCTTTGCCTGGGAGACAAGTCTCAAGGTTTGGAAAGTGGCTGAACGCACGCCACCTCCATCATCCAGAACCACGGCTAGAGAAAGTTGTGTTTTGTTTTGGGCGATGGGACCAAGTGTGTTCAAACAAGTGAAGGGTTGTGGATTTTCCAAAATACCCTGGCGATAAAGGTCTAATTCAGCTAACCCTTGGAAAGGAGAGAAAATATACGTATATATGTATGGGACTTGAGATTAGGAGCCCGGAAGGAATCAGAAAACCTAGCTTTTGGTCTTCTGCCTCATGTGAGCCTCAGCGTCATATCTGCATGTTGCTAATGTGGCCTTTTACACCGTATTTTATTATTTTTATAATGATACATGCACTAATGGAATCAAAGAGAGCCTTCATCCCTACACCACATTTTCACTCAGCATATTCGAAGCACAGGTTAGAAGAGAAAAATCATACAATTTTAGAATCATACAATTTTAGTCATGAGCACCATAACTACAAGCTGTAAAAATAGAAAGGACTTCAGAAATCATCTAGTCTCCTAGCTTTATCTTACATATGGTGAAACTAAATCCCAGAGATGGGAAGGGATTTGTCTAAGTGGCAAAGGCAGAAAATACTCAAAGCAGCATCCTGTGTTTCTCTCATTGCCATGTTCAAAACAGCAGTGTCCATGGAGGACCTCTCCTTCTGACCTCTTGCTATACTTTCATGAGTGCAGAAATTTAATGTAGGCTCAGGTGTCGAGGGGTACTTGGAGAAGGCAGCAGATAACAAGGCAGAATGTTAGTAGTCTTCCATCATAGTTGATTCCTCAAATATTTACTGAGTGCTTTATTGCATACAAGGAAGTGTGGGAGTGCCTGGGTGGCTCAGTCAGTTAAGTGGCCGACTCTTGGTTTCGCCTCAGGTCATGATCTCATAGGCCCTGGGATCCAGCCCCCAGTTGGATTCTGCATTAAACAGGGAGTCTGCTTAAAGATTCTCTCCCTCTGGCCCTCCCCCCACTCACTCTCTGTCTCTCGAAAATAAATAAATAAATCTTTTTTAAAAAGGCAGCATGCTAGGCAGAAAGTATTTGCACCCAAGGGATTTGTTCATTTAAAAAACATTTATTGAATACTTTTAATTACCTGTTCCGGGCACTGAGAATATGATAGTAAACAGTTCAAAGCCCCTGCTCTCATGAGGTTATGTTCTCAAACAAGAAATATTTATTTATTTATAAATAAAGACGATATATAATATGTCAAATGGTGGTAAGTACTGTAGAGGAAAATGAGGCAAGGAAGCGGGATAATGTGCCAGGATGGTAGTAGGGGAGAGGGAGGTTTAAGTGGAGTAGTCAGAGAAAGCCAGCCTGGGAAGGCAACATTTGAACAAAGACCTGAAGGAGATAAAGGAAGGAGCCATGTTCCTATGTGGGACAAGCAGAGGGAACAGCAGGTGCAAGAACCCCAAGGCAGGAGAGTGTTTAACTTGTTTGCAGAATGGTACAATGGTCAGTGTGTCTGGTGTGGAGGGAGTGTTGGGGCAGTGGGAGTGGAGCATACCTGTAAGAGAAAATAAGGAAAATAAGGTCAGTGAGGTAAGAGCAATTGGTGGGAGGCTGCCGACCATGGACCTTGTAAGACCTTGTGGGCCATTTGAAGGATTTCTGCTTTTACCCAGTCAAGTGGTTTTTTGTTGTTGTTGTTGTTGTTGTTTTAAGCAAAGCATGACATGATCTGACTTCGCTTTTAAAAGGATCATCTCAAGGGCGCCTGGGCAGCTGGGTTGTTTAAGTGTCTGCCTTCGGCTCAGGTCATGATCTCAGGGTCTTGGGATCGAGCCCCTAGTGGGCTCCTTGCTCAGCGGGGAGCCTACTTCTTCCTCTCACTCTGCCCCTCCCCCCTGCTCATGCTCTCTCCCATCTCAAATAAATAAATAAAAAGTATTAAAGAAAAGATCATTTCAGCTGAGAATAGAGTGTAGGGGTCATAACAGAAAGCAGGGAAACCAATAAAGTGTTGGCTTCTCAGTAGAGAAAATGAGACACTTATAAGCCATAGAACGATTTAATACACTAGCGCAGAGGAGCCCCTCAAACGCAGCAGCTCAAGTAAGACGGATGATTTCTGACATCACATGCTGGCCAGCCTAGCCCAGTGGGACAGTTCTGCTCCATGCAAGGACATGAGTGCATCCACAATTCTAGCTCATGGGAAGGAAGAAAGAGGTCCAGCAAAGGGCCCTCCTCGGAAGCAAGTCAGGTGGAATTTGTTCATTTCATTTTCCGTCATATCCCTTTGGCAAGAGCTCTGTCACACGGCAAGAGCTTAGTTGCAAGTCACACCTAGCCGCAAGCAAGACTAGGAAACACCTTGGGAGGTGGCCCTGTGCCCAGGCAGGAATGGAAAATTGATTTTGGGGGTATAACTAGACATTGGCCACAAGATCCAAACAAAGCGATACGCAGGCTCAGTGGTAAGAGGTGTCACCTCTGAGCTGCACAACCTGGGAGGTGTTTTTGGAGGTCGAAGTACATGAGTTAGGCTGAAGAATGAGTAGGGTTTGACCAGGCAATGACTGGGAGGAGGTGGGTCTCCCTGGGCTTGAAGCAAAGGTAGTAGAGGGGGTTTTAAGAGGGAGTAGAGAGGGGTTTTCAGGAAAGAGAAGTAGTCTACCTTGGCTGGAGTATCAGGTACTATGTTGAGAAGTTATTCTGCAAGTGATGGGAAGCCATTGTTCTGGAGAAAGGGAAGGACATGATCATAATTGTGCTTTGGGTAAATTTATCTGTAGAGGATGGATAATAGAGATTGGAGGCAGGTGACCCAGGTTAGGAAGGTAAGTTAGTCATGTCCCCAACTGGGCCACTAGTTAGAGGGTTTAACAAGTGGGTTGGGAAGAATGTGATTTGTGAGTCTCAATGTTTTGGAGATCACGGCTGCCTTCGAGAATTCTGTGAACACTGTGGATCATCTACCTCTCCAGATAACTGATCTTGGGACTGTGGACTCATCCGATTAAAGCTCGGGGCCACTGGGAGAATTTTGTAAACACCCTCTTCCTTGGGGGGCGCCTGGGTGGCTCAGTGGGTTAAGCCGCTGCCTTCGGCTCAGGTCATGATCTCAGGGTCGTGGGATCGAGTCCCGCATCGGGCTCTCTGCTCAGCAGGGAGCCTGCTTCCCTTCCTCTCTCTCTGCCTGCCTCTCTGCCTACTTGTGATCTCTCTCTCTCAAATAAATAAAAAAAATCTTTAAAAAAAAAAAAAAACACCCTCTTCCTTGGAAGGGCTCCCTCCCTTTCAAGAGGTTTTCTCATTTTAATGATGAGGAATGATAGTGGGAAGAATGGCCTGCAGGGACAAGGGTTCTTTCCCTAAGAGGAAACCACCCTTAAAAGGATTTTACACCCCTTTGGAAGGAGCCCTCCACCCTTTCCCAGGCGATAGGTAGATGACAAAAGCCTGATTCCTGATTCGCTGACAAGTGTGTGGAGGATTAATCGGATTAAAACAGCCCGCCAACAAGCCCAAAAAAAACCCGTAGACTCAGAAACTCCTGTAGCAACCCTCTTGGGTCCCCTCCCTCTTCCAGAACTTCATACCGTCGCTCAATAAACTTTGCTTTGCTGCCCACCACCCTTCATCTGGTCTACCTCTTCATTCTTGGAAGCTGCATGACCAAGAACCATGGGCACCCACCGAGGGGAAAGAAATCCTGCAACCATTTCTGTCTTCTCTGTTCTGTTTCTTTTCCCCGGTAGGCCAGCAATGACCTGTCCTCATGGTTCATATTGTTCGGTGATGGCGGGTGGGCATCTTGCGTGTAAGTACAGCGGAGGGCTTTCAGAGGCCGCAGCAAAGCGCATCACAACTGGAGAGAGTTCCCCACGTGCTCTCACCCCCCTGAGCTCACCAGCTGTCAGCAGCTGGCCCTTCCATTGGGTCCTGAACTCCTCGTCTCACGTTCTGTGTCTTCAGGGAGCATGCAAACTCTTTGAGGGCAGAGAACATGTTCTCCCATAGCCCCTAGCACAGACCCCTGGAGTGGAGGAGATAACTGAGGAGGTGAGTATTTGGGGCTTTTTCTAAAAGATTCCATGTAGGAGTCCTTTGAAAGAGCAAAGGACATATACGTAAATCATGGCTTTTATTAACAAAGTCTATCTTAAAACTACTCCCATTCCAGAAGCTTTATCTCACAAAGCCAAGTTTGCTGTTTTGCCTTAAGTAGGATCTGGCCGGACCCTTCAGATGCATTCTCTCCTAGGGTTCTCATAAATTGGTTTCCTGTGATTGTGGGCTTGATTGTACAAGGTCCGTGTCCCAGGAATCTAGAATCATCTAGAGATTTAAGAGATGGGAGACTTCAGCACCCCCTGGGCAGATTAGCACTGGATAAAAAAACCCTGCAGGGACAAGTGGGCTCTGTAGTTTGCTCTGGTGTTTGACTTTTAT